ATAATCTCCTACAGGTCTCCATTCCAGACTTCCCTTTTTTGGAACCATGTGAAGTGGGGATGCATAATTGCTGCTCGAAGGTCTCAAATGCCCCAATTGCATCATAGTTTGAAATTCTTGTTTTGCTATTTTTAAGCGATCTGGAGCTAACCGACGAGGTTTTGCAACCACAGGTGGACCTTTAGTTATGATATAATGAACGGTGTTGTGTTTAACAGGTTGGTTAGGATCTGGTAATCTAGTAATTGAAGGAAATTCTTTTAAAATTTTGTGATATGGTGTATCACTAAATACAGTTTTTACTGAATAATAATGCTTGCATTTTTCACGCAGCCGACGGGTTTTAAAACTGCGTTTTTAAATCTTTGAGACATTTGTTTCTGAGATCAGGCACCAATTCAAAGAAATGGAGAAAATCTGCTCCAAGAATGGGGTGTACTAACATTTGCTATAAGAAAAGTCCATGTAAACTGTTGTCTTAATTTGAAATCCAAAGAAAGTGTTTTTTTGACCATAAACATGAATAGTGGAAGAATTAGCAGCGAAAAGTGTTTGTTGGGACGAATTCCGTTTTTGAGAATTATTTGCTGGAAGTAAGGACACGTCAGAGCCGGTATCGACCAAGAATGAAAGGTTTGTTCTACGGTCACGAACGAACAGGCGACGTGAAACTTGAGGCAAAGAATAAGTCGCCTCTATTCTTTGCTGGTTTCGTTTCCCTGCCATGAACAAGGTTTTGTACATTTGTCTTCTCTACACTTTTTCCCAAAACGTCTATGATACCAGCAAACAGAATAATCTCTCCTTTTGGAATTGCTTCTTTCCTTATTGCGATCTCCGCGATTTGGCGAGCGACCACGAGAAAGAGAAATGCGATCAATACGTTTGTTTAATTTTTCTATTTGTTTAAATAATTTATCCTCAAAAGACTGATCGACTGTGCGAGAAACGGCACAAGTCCCTGTGGTTGGATTTACTTCTAAAATTCTGTCGGCAATTTCTGCAGCTTTATCTACAGCTTTAAATTGGAAACCGCTGCCAAAATAGACTGAACAGTCGAAGGCAAACGTTGAAGGAATAATTCTAACATTAAGTTATCAGGAACATTTAAAGATTCTGCTCGGTGTTTCATATTTCTAAGCAAATCGGAAGGTTTTCAAGAACCTAATTCCTCTCCAGATAATAATTGGCGAATTTCTTGCTGAGAAGATTCTCCTGAACAATTTATTAACTCAGTTTTGAGCTTTGCATATGGATCAATAGGGTCTGGTTTCATAAGTAAATCCTGTACTATTGATGCAATATCTGGAAGATGAACAACTACATAATTATATTTAGTAATGGATTCTGTGATAGGTTTGGGGGTGGCAAGAGCAAAGGTACTTTCACACATAATAAACCATAAAGATGGGTCCGATCGGTTATAAACCGGAATTTGGATGGCATGAACTTCAGACATTGTGCAAGGTTTTTAAGCTAAAATAAAAGCAAAAATTTAACTAAAGAAAATGAAATTAAATGATAAGTAGAAAACAGAATTATAAAATGATCTATAATTACTACTCATCTGTGATTCAGAGGATGAAAACCGATGTAATCCATTACTTCTGGTTTGGAGATCTTGAGTGATGGCTTGTAGTCAAAACCGAAAGTGCTTGAGAACTGTTCATACGGCCTGATTTAACACAGTCCGGGTCACCATTATAGTGATTTCCTATCATGTTGTTACCTATATGTTTTAACACCAATCCTCTAGCATTCCATATCACAGATTATGTTCTTACTGCATTAATATAAATATTAACTAGACATAGTGCACAATAAAAATTAAGCTTTATTTCGGAACTTCGTCGCATACTCCCCGAGAGCCGGCCTCTAGAGATTCGCTTTGCTTCGCTACTCGAAAGAAACTTCTCCTTTAGGGTTGCCACACTTATCGGAGGGCGCAAGGCGCGCTCCTTATCGCCATCACCACATGGTCTTGTTCGACTTTTTCTGGAATAAATCTGCGATTCCCTGATGTTAACTTGAAATGTGATCCAGACCATAATGCAGTTTCAATAGTTTCACACTATTCCATCATTTTATAACATCAAAAACTTTATTATCCATTGCTTTTTGGATTATTTTGAATATTTTTACCATCTTTAGATTGATGAATAATTAAATTTATCACAGAATTTGCCATTAATTTGTAGTATCTTACCATGTTTACTTCAGATATGGAATAGTTAATATATTTTTTTAAACAAGTAATTTCCAAATACAGATCACAATTCTTATCTTTATTTTCATTTAAAACAAAATATTATAACAAAACACATAATCTACCAAAACATTTTCTTTCATGTATATTTCTGAGTGACCAAATTGTTATGTGAGTTACTGATTAATGCTTTTCAAATAAATTATTTGGTACTATTCGGTTTCGAGGGCCGTAAAAAATCGCCAAATTGTTGATGCCAATGCTGCCAAAAAGATTTGCGACAACCCTAATAATTGCGGCAAGAAAGGAAGTATAATAGTAAATAACTATCTAAGATTGATGTTTTAATTTAGATGAAAGGTTAATTTCATATAATACTTTTTTTATTATTATAATTTATATGAAAAAGGCTAAACATGACTGAATGGAAGCATAAGAGTAAATAACTATTTCAAATCATTATTATAATTTATATAAAAATTGCTAAACATAACTGAATGGATGCCTGCATCGATATTTCGCTACCGACTTATCGCTAAAGCATAATTTCATCTTGTTGGTTGTTCAAACGTAATTTTCTATAATGAATGATGCCTTTTCTTTGAAAATATTCTCGGTTAAGTGCAGAATCGCTCACTTATTTGTTCGCCGCTTTTTACACGTGTAAAAACAATTGGATTTTTGTCAATTTTCTTTTACCTTTTAAGTGAAAATAGGTCGATGTGTACATAGATAATGTCAAGCGTGTGCGCAGTGCCATTTTTGTGCAATTTTAGGTTTTTTTTTTAAGTGAAAATAGGTTGATCTGCACATGGATATCGAGTATGCGCAGTTTTTAAAAACGCGCCAAGCAGTGGATGATTCTGCATTTTACCCAAAATTCTATTGCCGGCTTTTCATTATGGGTAATTGTTAAATTCATAGGATATCAAAAAAGGATTTAAAAATTAAACTCGTATTTCAATGGCGTCTTAAAAAATATAGAACTATCTAAACTTACGCAATCTGAAATCAGGGCGTACGCTAGATGTGGCGCGCTGTTAAATGGGCGCGTTTGCGCATACATTTGGCTAATCTTTGGAATATGGTAACAGGTAGTTCGGGCTAGTCTTTGGAATATGGTAACAGGTAGTTTGGCAACATTTTGGTAAGGCGATAAAGGTTACTCGCTAGGACTTTAGCAGTGTACATGGATAAAGTCAAGTGTGCACAATGCCATTTTTGTGCAATTCTGGGATGTTTTTTTAAGTGAAAATAGGTCGACGTGTACATGGATACTGTGTATGAGCAATTCTTAAAAACGCGACAAGCAGTGGGCGATTCTACACTTTCTCCCAATTTTGCACCTAATCTTCGTCATGGTTAAGCACTTTTGTTTCATAAAAGTTCTAGCATAAGCGTATTTTCGCCAAAAAATCGCCAAGTTACCATAATCTGAAGATTAAACATACATTTTTGCTGCAATTTTTTTACGGCCCTCAAAACAGAATAGTACCAAAAAATGTTATATTTGCAGATGTACTGAAATTTAATACATTTATGACAGATGGATGAATTATTGTAAGTGAAGCCAAATGAAGAACTGAATTTAAAAGATCAATAGCCTACTGTTAAAAATGAGGCTAGAGACAATGTTTTAGGGATGCTTCGTTGCCTGTGGCATGGGAAATTTAGTTTTTATAAAAAATAATATGGAAATCAGTATAACTATACAATATTTTTAATGAAAACCTGAAAGCATTTGCAAGAAAATATGGAAAAATTCAAGTTCTATTAAGATAATAATCCTAACATACTGCCCTAAATGTTCACTTCTGGTGATGTCCTAAAACTATCAGAATCCTTCATGCCCTCTGGACTTATATCATATCAAACATGCAAAGGAATTAAGAGAAAATAATGATAATTTTTTTAAAGGCATAATAAAAGCAATTTTTATGAAAGAATAGAACAAAATGGAAAATTCTTAAACAAAGATATTAACTGAATACATGCCAAAGTGCAATTTTAGCTAAAGGATATCAACAAAATGTTGAATGTCCCATTATTTGCATGATTTTGTTAAATGTAAATGATTTTTCTTTCAAAGTATCAAATTCTTATGTTGGTATGAAAAATTTCAAATCAACTATTCATTTTACCAAAAATGCTTTCAGTACATATACATATTTTGAAAACAAGCAGACTTTAAGAAGATAATAGTATATATGAATGAAAAACAGTCATTTAGCTAGTATTCAGTAACTTATATTTCCAAATAAAACTTGAAAAACTAAAATATCTGAAAACAAATGTGAGCCAGTGTATCTATATTAGAATAGATATTAGCTCTTTAGAGCTAACTTTTGTACCATAATTTTTCTTACACAATCACATCTATATTCCTAGCACTGATTCATCTTTTTAAATAATTTAATAATTGAAGCAGTAGAACATCATTTTTACCGAGAAAACAACACAAGTTTCAAACACAGAAATTTCATATTTGTGTACTAAAAACTTAATGTTTATAAATTTAACCATTAAAAATGTCAAATTAAAAATAAAATTACCTTCCTCTACAAATAGGTATACTTTAAGTTTTCATTAGTTACTTATATGGCTATTGTATTGGGCAAAACATGTCCAAGCATTAGAAAGCAGAGTAAATAAAGAGATTATAAAATATTTAGTTTATTATTTAATATACTATAAAAATTTTGCACAACAAATGGAGTTTGGAATGAACAAAACTTTCAAATTACTTAGAAAAGTACATTTAAAAGCCAAAAACTAAATATGAAAGAATACTAACCTCTGATACCAGCCAAAAAGTGCAACGGAAGCTCGATTCCCAAAATAAAACTTTTTCACATTCGAATTTCGTCTGCTCGATATTCGAATCCAAAAATATTTCAAAACAGATGCAGACGACATCTGATTTTTCAAGTGAATAATGCTCATGGAAAATCTTAATTATATCACAGGATATAATTTTTTAAGCTGAAAACAGTATTTTTTTGAAACATTTAAAAATAATTATTATCCGGTTCATAATTCTGGAAATTTCGACAATACTCCAAATACCTGGATTAAGGATTACCTTATCAGTACTTCATAGCTTTCATTCATATAAAATAAGAAAAAAAAAAAGCATGATACATAAATCAGTTTCTTGACAAAATTTGAGAGGCATTGAGTTTTTCTAATAAGGCTTCGATTTCTTTTAAGCGTATTGTCTTTCAAATTTACCGCAAGAGCGAAACTAAAAAAAACATTCGTTTCACAGTTAACTGTGAAAAGAAATAAAAAATGAGGAATATTTTTATATCAGTAAACACTTATTATACGAAATATTAACTAATTCGCTCTCAAAATATTACTTTTGCGTTATAATGTTAAATTTACTTCACTTCACGCTTTCTCAGATTATTTTCCATACTTCCTCCAACTCTTTTAATCATAATTTTCATGCGTTTTTATAGCTTTTGTTTTTAGAATTTATTAGTATAGATTTCCGAAAGTTTAAATAAACTAATTAGTACTGTATTAATTAGCCTTGTTCATCATTTCATTTTCTTATTAATAACTTTATATTCTTCTTTGTGAATAGGCAACACTTCAATGTAAATATTAAATTGCCGTAAAAATTGCTGTGATTGCTATCAGCGGAGTGAATATACTCCGTGGTAGTTAAATATCTTAAAATATAGATTTTAGTTAATCTAGCCGCTTTACATTAAATTACAGAAACCACTTTGCGATTTAAATGGCTACAACATTAGTAAATTATTTAGATAATTACAAATATTTTGTTACAAAAAATCCTTTGTTAGCTAATGAAATCGAAGTTGCATTAAAATGGATGTCATATATTGCGGCTGGTAATGATAATTTTTAAAAATTAAGACTCTGTAATATTCTGATAAAATTAATTTCAGGATTACTTACTTATTCGTATATTTTTTGTAATTCCTGCTAATTGAGAAATGAGGGTTTTCCAGCATATAAATTTAGTAATAATTATGTGTATACTTTCTTTACAGGTCGCTTTTCAAGGTCAACTGTTGTAACAGAATTAATACATTCTGTTTCAAATTTACTTGCTCTAGTAAACGATAATATATTAAGGAAAGCAGCTGGAATACCGGTTCATGTTGTGAGTACTTGTTGTAAGCCATTGATATTGTTATATAACGTATAAACCATTTTATAGAATATGTAAATTTGAATTTTAACTCCTACGTTGTTAATATGCTTACATTAATTAAGTAAAAAATTCAATTTTACTGTGTAAATCCCTTAAGAAAGCTTGAAATCTTCCATGAAAGCATCCCTTCCTTTAAACCAGAGTTTCTTAAACCGTGGGCGGTCGTGGGTCCTGCAGCAGGTAGTCACCAAAAATTTCAGTAGTTTTGATATTTCTAATAATAATGTCTTGATATTTCTTATAACAATTTTACAATTACCAAATATTTGTATACAATGTATCTGAAAATAGATAAGGATACGACACAGAGTCGTAGCTAGGGTTTTCAGCGCCCAGGGACAACTGAAAATTTTGCGCCCCCTACTGCTTGCCAAGGATGGAAAACATTTAATTCTAAAATGTCGTAACATCAGTATGGCGCCCCTTGGATTCTGCGCCCGGGGACAGATGCCCCCCTCTAACTAAGCCCCTGATACGTCAATACAGCTAAAGAAAAAACGAAAATGTTTCGACGCATTCTTTTTATAAAGAAGTGTTTATTTTATTTGCTTTGCATGTGACGCTGTCATTTCATCTGTTACTTACTTAAAATTTTCACATTGTTCTATGTCTGCAAATTAGAGATCAAAGTTAATGACCTAAAACTACAGTAGTATATTACAGTACAAGTGAAAAAATTGACAGTTTCACTCGTATGTGTGTCGGATTTGCGCAATGCTTATGAGGTCCTACAAAATTTTTGTAAATAATATGCAGTTGCAGAAAAAATCTCGGTGATAAAAAGGGATAGTAACTGAAAAATGTTTAAGAAGCCCTGCTTTAAACAGATAGCCTTCGGTGTCATTGCTATGTAATAAATAATCCTGATCCATATATTTGGTAAATTATGCATACGAATATACTTCAAGCAAGATGTCTTGTTATTAAGTTAATAATAAAAATGTGTTATGTCAGCTATAGGAGTAGTGTAGGGAGCTGATAATTATGTTAAAGGCTCTCTTTCTTTCTCTCTTTTCTATGTATATATTGTAATGTATTTTGCAGTAATTGCAGATACAGTCAAAAGTCGTTAATCCGGACTCGTCGGGACTTCGGCGATTCCGGATTATTGATTTTTCCGGATTATAGATCATCAGTTTAAATCTGGTAAGATGGCATGCAGAAATTATAAAATTAAAAATATCAAACCGTAATTTATGAAATAAAGAACAATTATGATCTAAAGGGTATCAAAATTTATGAAAAAAAGCTTAATATTTATTAGTTGATCTTTACATTATGGTAACTTGGCGAAAATTTGGCGACCAACTCTTCTACAGCAACCCTCTATTTTTTTTTCCCACCACCATTTTGTCTTCACGAAGTAAAGACATGTTTCTTTTCTTTTTATCTACTGAACACTTCTTCTAACAATCTACTAGCCGAATTACACTTATGCTAGAAATTTTATCAAACAAAACTGCTTAATCATGACAAATATTCACTGCAAAATTGGGAAAAAGTGCACAATACCATACTCCTTACGCATTTTTCAAAATAACACATACACATAAACCATGTACACGCCGACTTATTTTTACTTAAAAAAACATCCCAGAATTGCACAAAAATGGCATTGCACACACTCTTCACTATATCCATGTACACTGCTTTTTTCTCATAAATTAGAAAAATTTCACGAAAATACATGACAATTTTCTCAATCTTTAAACCCGGTAAAAAGAACATATATGAAATTACCTGATCACGAAAAAGTATTTACCCTTTCCAAATATGAACATTTCCACATATAAAATAAATTAAATATCCAAAAACTTTTACCTCTAAATCATCTATTATATTATAAACTTCAGCAACGAATTCATACCGCAACCATTACAAATACTTAGTGTCAGATATTTAAATTATTTCCATGCACGTTTACTTCAACTAAAACATATACCAAATTCCTACAAACATAAAATTCACAAAATAACTATCATTTCATTAAAATATAATTAAATTCAAAAAACACTACTTAAAATATAAATGAGCACATACATTAAATTAATAAAAATTACCTTACAATCCTAATTACTTTAAACTAAATCATTGCTAATAACAATTTTCCCATAATACCAAATTCCTTTCCACCTTACATTTAGAACAATGCATAAAAATAATATCCTCAAATAATTAAAAATATACTAACTTACCTAATCTTCTTCAGAATCTTGATTACGTGGCGGATACACTTTTCTAATTCATTCAATAAAATTATTGAAAGATTTTTTCTGCGAATTTTTTTCCTCCATACTTCCTCCGCTAATATAAAAAGCAAACTTCTCTTTATCACAATGCCTAAATACCCATTTTGAATTCACTTTAGTTAGGGCCATGGGATCCAAAAATTAACCAACACTGTTTCACACAACACAGAATAAAGCTAAATACAAAATTTCCAGATTTTTTCCCGATTTCCCCCCTTTTCCGATTAAAGAACCATAATTCGTCCATTAATATCACATGACATATCCCATGATCTGTCATTTCCCTCACGCAAAATAATGCATAATCGGAACTGAGTACTGCTCACATTATTACCAAAGTCCCAGGTAGTAACGTTTATCGCCTCCAAAATGTCGCCAAACTACCAGTTACCATATTGTAAAGATAAACCTATTTATTTGTTTACTCTATTAAACATTTCTTTCAATGTAAGTTGTTTAAGTTGCTTCGTTTTTTATGTGATAATACATTCTCTTTAATTCTATAAACAGACATAATTTCCTGTTCAGTTAGAAAATTCCGCTGTTCAAGTCCTATAATTGCTGTGTCGAGAATACCGACTAATTTGTCAATCGAAATTTTTTCGTTTTCAGTAACCTCTGTCACTTTCTTCACTATCGGAAGCGAATTACAATGACGAGGAATTTGATTTAAATCATATCAAAGACGAAGTACATCGAGATGAAATACTACATTTAGTAAGGAATTATAAGCCAAATAAAATAAAAACATCTGCCCTGAAGATAAGGATAGTGCTGACAGATCAACTTCCTGTTGTGTAGCGAATTTAATTTAATTAAGTGATTCATAAAAATCAAAATTTTAATTTGTAATTATTCAAAATTTGAGCTACACAAGTTTGGTTATATTCTTTTTTGGCTTATTAATTCTAGTGTAATATATTTTGGCTTTCCGAGTTTACGCGAACTGCGTCTTCAATCTTGTACACGCAAACAATGGATTTAGATGAATTTTTTTCACGTAATAAACTCAGTTTTTCATGTCAAAAATTAATTTGATTTCTTAGTATTTAATGTCATTAGTTGCAGAAAAATTAGCTCTTTAATTTGACATAACTTTCGTTTTTCTAACTTTAATTGCATTTCAGTTATGAGCTTTAATTAGTAGATTTTTCTTCGTTTGCTTGTGATTTCGTTAAAGGGGGATGAAATGCCCTCTTTCCGGTTGAAAAGTCACTTTTTGCGAGTTTCAGCATTCTTTCGTTGGGACCGCTTGCAGGGTTGTTGAAATTCTTAATTTCCCCTTCCACAAGGTGGGGTTATTTTGGCGAGGGTTTGGCGACGTAGAATTTCCGTTGAGGTTTCAAAGTTGTGGATTTGGCGAATTTGCTAACAGATGGAATTTAGTTTATTAAACATTTCATTTTTTTGAATTTTATGTTTGTAGGAATTTGGTATACGTTTTAGTTAGCATCTGTTAGCATGTTAGATTTAGAATTTGCTAACAGGGCAGATGTTTTTATTTTATGAGGGAATGCTGTTATTGCAACTATTTTAACTTTTGGCGAAGAGTGGGTTGTGCCAACTTGGCAGTCCTGTGTCCTCCCTTTTAACAGGTTGTTTTGGGAGACGAGCACACTTTTTTGACACGTCTTCTGCTTTTTTTTATTTCCTTTCTGATGCTGTACGTGACGGCAGCAGATTCTGCTGAGAAAATGATTTACTTACCCGATAGAGCTACGGGCCTCGTGCCTCTGCGCCTTGAGCGCGGGCCCTGGTTTACGGGTATCATTGTCTCCACCTAATTCTTCGTTGCATCAGTTTTTTTCTTTTTGGTGTATGCGTTTGTGTATTTACATTTAAGTTCTCAAGAAATATAATGCTGAAAATCGTCATCTAGAAAGATGTCTCTACCTAGTTCTCTACCATAGAAATTCTTCATTAGCTTCTTGCTTCCTCCGACAGTAGTTTTTTTTATTTGGTTGGTCAACTACCGCTGCTTCTATGAACTTAGAAGTCGGACTCGCCTTTTCCACTGACGGATTCCTGAGCTGAAATTTTTCTCCTGCTGACAGCTGTCGTATCCAAGTCCTGGACTGTATTTCAACCATCCTGAAATATGGGAACTTCCTTGTTCATCCTGTATCAAATAGAAAACCTCCTCGGCTCCCGTGATAACCTCCATATAATCAACGAATACCTTTCCTGCAACTTGCTGCCGGCTTTACTCCTGAGCTTCAAGGGACAATTTTTTTTCATATGGTTTGATTTTGCCTGCTACTCAGCAACTGCTTGCCTCTGGTCCAGATAAGTTTTTTTTTTTTTTTTTGTTTCTTTCCCGGTTAGATAAATGATATAGAATTCTGCAGTTAAATGATTGAATTAATTTGATGTGTTGAGCATTAATTTTTTTTTTTTTTTTTTTTTTTTTTTTTTGTGGTTGACCAAGTTAACCTAACTCAACTGAAATCATTTTTGTGTGTCGATTAAGTAAAGTATTAAATTGACTAAGGATTTAATTTATTTTATTATTGTAACTTAACTTAATTGTAAAAGAAAAATAAGTTCTTCATGAAATTATGTAATTCAACTTTGGAGTGCGTGCTTGGTGAGGATTGATTTGTAATATCTTTGTTTGAGCCTCTCTGCTACTCTCAGGGATTAACTTTGTTGGTAGGATCGTAATAGCATAAATACTTAACATTTTTCCGGTTAAACTAT